TTGTTTGTATTTAATCTTCTTATAGGAGGATAAAGAAGAAGAAGATCTATGTCATCAGTACCACAAAGAGGCCGGTGCCGCTGGAACATTATCTGTACACCGGGAACAGTCAGAAGACGCAGAATGAGTTCTTCCTGTTGCAGGACGCTTCTGGAGCCTTCCAGACCAAAGGGTGAGAGAAGCCTTAAAGAGTAACTCCACTTTTATTGAGAAAAAAAACCATTTCCCTCTATGTACATTTCAGGGATTTTAACAAACTTTGTTGCAGATTTCTACCTTTTGTTATTCTGAAGAAATAGCGGTTTGTTTGTCTGTATCCATGTGCAAAGTCAATATATATGGGAATGATTTCACATTATCAATCAGCTGCTGCACCTGCAGGGCTCTAATGAGGAAGGGGACAGGGTCTGCATCCCTTTAGACATGTTTTCCCTTTGAGAGTATCACATCTAAAAATTATATTTTTTTTTTTTGTAAGGGATCCATAAAATCAGATTTTTATCTTAATGCAGGCTTCTAGGTAAATCAGTGAGCCAATCACACAAGCAGGAAACGACATTCAATTACAATTGTAAATGCTATATGATTTTTTTTTTATTTGCTATTTTTGTTTTTTTTACCACAAAAGTGGCGTTACCTTTTAAAGTGACAGTAAACTAAATAAATCTACTCAAATATGTGAATAGTGAAAACAGAAAATTGTGTTATGTGACAATAATATGTGCTATATCAAAATAAATATCAACACATAGACATGAATATCCATAAACCTGCATATACAAGTGCTAAATAAATAGTGTATGCAAATATCAAATGAACCATACAAAATAGTGAGCTGTCCCTTTAACAACCCAATATCTTCACATGTGCCTGTGCGGTATATCTCCTGTGCATCGTGTTCCAAATTAACTATCAACAAGTGTCCCATTAATATGGTCTCAAAATGCAGGTGAAACGTCCCTTTAAATCTGCTGTGTTCCAAGTGGATCTGTGTGATCACAGTACTGCATACACATATACGGTGCTCCTGTGTCACCCCTTAGTGCTTATCCACCTCTGACACACTATTGCGCTCACCTTCAGGTTTGACCCATATACTCAGGTGAAACTATACCCTTCCCTTTAACCCGGGAGGGTGTACTGGTGCATAAATCTTCACCACCGTCCGCACTTAAAATCTCCAAAACGCTCCACAGACATATGAAAAAATGCTCCATATAGTGAAGTATAGCCAAATACAATCAACTTTATTAACCACTTCCATACCGGGCACTTTTACCCCCATACTTGCCCATGCCAATTTTCAGGTTTCAGCGCTCTCACGCTTTGAATGACAATTGCGCGGTCATACAACATTGTACCCAAACTAAAATTTTATCATTTTCTTCACACAACTAGAGCTTTCTTTTGGTGGTATTTACTCACTGCTGGGGTTTTTATTTTTTGCTAAATTACCAAAAAAAGACCAAAAAGTTTGAAAAAAAAACACGTTTTCTTTGTTTCTGTTATAAATGTTTGCAAATAAATAATTGTTCTTCATAAATTTAGGCCAAAATATATTCTACTACATGTCTTTGGTGAAAATAACCCAAATTAGGATGTATTTTTTTAGTCTGTAGGAAAGTTATAGAGTTCACAAACTATGGTATAGATCTGAATATTGATCAATCCTGAAGTACTGACAGCCAATCTAATTTCTTGAGGTGCAAGAATGTCAGAACAGTACAGATATCCCCCAAATGACCCCTTTTTGCAAAGTAGACAGTCCGACATACTTCATAAGAGGCATGGCGAGTTTTTTGAAGTTGTAATTTTTTTGTCATAATTTTTCGGAAATGAAGAAATAAAAGAAATTATTTTCACTATTTTTTTTTTTTTACATACTGTCACCAGTGCAGTACAGCGTCATCATATAACTGGCATGGCGGTGATCAGGGACACTGACTGGTGATTTAAAAAAAAAAAATTATTATTTTTTATTAAATTTTTTTTCTCTTTTTTTAAGATTTTGTTTTCATATTTCACTATGGCCAAAGTAGTATAACGTTACCATAGTAACATTGTACTACTTTGGGGAAGTGATCTATATTTTTTTTTTTTACACAATTTGCTTATATCAAAGAATTACTTTGCTGTAAGCAAGCATTTACCTGAATGAAATCGATTCATTCAGGATTTTTTTTTTCTTAACTGTGATTTGGCCACAGCTAATCACATGACACAGCTGGGCTGTGATTGGCCCAGCTTGTGCATGTGATCGCTGTGACCATTCACAGCTAGCCACACTTGTATACAATGGATGGCATGGTAGGAAGCCATCCATTGTATACAACTGTCATGTGACCTGCTGTGATTGGTCACAGCAGATCACATGGTACTGGCAACGGGGCCGGTACACAGATCTGTCATCGGCCGTGTCCGAGGTACACGGCCGGTGACAGATCGCGCAGCTTTGCTGGCATGCAAACTGCGCATGCCTGAAAGGATGCCATATGGCGTCCACCCGGAGGGACGAGGGTTTTTGCCAGCCGCCATTTGGCCATAGGCCGGGCAGGAACCGGTTAAAAATTGATCAAAATACACTCACATTTAAAAGTGTCCACCTGGGACACTACAGGATCGAAGACTCACTATACAGTATAATTGTTGAAGTGCATAGATTCCTTATCCAAAGGGGCGGCATGTGCACTTCCGGTTTACGGCTTGACGTCATCGGCGTACCCTATGCATTACGTCACATAATTTCATCACGTGACGTAACGCGTAGGGTACGTCGATGATGTCAAGCCATAAACCGGAAGTGCACTTGCCGCGTAGGGTACGTCACCGGCGTACCCTACGCATTACGTCACGTCATGTGACGTAACGTGTAGGGTACGCTGATGACATCAAGCTGTAAACCGGAAGTGCACATGCCGCCATTTTGGATAAGGGATCTATGGACTTTGGGATCTATGTTAAATAGCGGCTACTTCATTCTCCATGACTCCACTTTATGTAGGAATGTAGCCACCCTCCCTTGCTCTCCCCTGAGATGGGCTATGGGATTTGTAGTGTGCATAGAGCAGTGAGCATGACTGCAACTAACATGCACTGCTTGTTCCAAACAAACGGTAGTGAGGGGGAAAAAGAGGGGTTAGGAAGCTCACAGGGGATGTTACAAGGGGCAGAGAAACATAGGAAAAAACAATTTAATGAAAAATAGATTACAATGACGATAAGTAGTGGATGTGTATGGATTATATTTGGAGAATAAGGACATTGTTTAGTGTCACTCTAAATTGGGAGAGCTGCCCTAGTGTACCAATGACTGAACAGTTGTTAAACAGATTATATTTATAAAGGGAAAATCCCATAGAGGTAACTGTTTCCTTTACAGTCTGGTAATACAGTGTTTCCTTTTATCTCTAGCTACTATGCTGCTGTTGATGCCAAAAAGGAGCGATCCTCTAAATATTCGCAAACGTTCGGAGCAAAACACCCACATGGGGGTGGAGCTGGGCATGTGAGTAACGTGGGGGGGGGGAAGTGCATGCAAAACCAGGCAATTAAGAAGATTGTGCATCTCAAGCCCAATTCTGTGCAAGTCCTCCCTCTTTAGCCCAGCAGTTTTTTGTGGTGTCTTCTGGCCAGTCACATGACACCTTATTATGTTTTTTGCACATTTGTATCTAAGACAGTCAACAAAATCACTTCAATTAAAGGTTAATGTTAGGGTTAAATTAAAGGTGAAGTAGGGCCAAAGCTCTTTCAGCCCTACTTCTGTGCGTCACAGGAATGCACTTAGTTCTGCACTCCTGTGACCACTATTCACATCACTGAGCAGGTCCAAGCTCAGAAGAAATCCTGACTTTAAAGTCAGGACCTACCGAGATGCCTGGGCTGGCAGATGGGTCAGCCTGTCAGGGAATCACTGAGAGCCTGAACCAGCCGCTCCCATCAACTCCACAGCCCGTGACTCCCATGAGCGCTGGAGGGTGGAGCAAAGAGCCAGTGACTGACAGCCACTGCTCTCTGCTCACTGAAGACCGAGAACTGAGCGATCAGCAGTCTGTGATCCATGCCCGGTCTTAGAGGCGGCAGGGGACAGATGCAGCATTGGACCTCTGCTGCATCCACCTAGGTGAGTATGAATGTTTGTCTTTATTTATTCCCAAACTTCTCTTTTTAAGGTTAAATTAATGACTAAGCCCATTGGGTGAAACATGTCAGCAGAGTGGTTGATCCAGGGAATATCCGATTGCCTCTCGGGGGATCAGGAAGGAATTTTTTTCCCAGCAGGAGCAAATTGGATCGTTCTTTGCTGGGTTTTTTTCCTTCCTCTGGATCAACTGTGGGTATAGGATTATAACTTTTTTTTTTTTTTTTTCTATGGTTGAACTGGATGGACTTTTGTCTTTTTTCAGCCAGACTAACTATGTAACTATGTAAGTGGTCTGGAAGCAGAACCATGTGCTGAAGCTGGTTGGCTGAATAACATTTAGCCTGTACAGACATCATCAGCAAAGGCTTTTTGTTTGGATTATTCTGCGAAAAAGTCATCTCTGTCCATTGTCCGAGCTCAGTGTATCCTTAGAAACTACACTAATAAAAATACATTCAATATTTTTTTTTTTTTAATGAACTCATAACTTCAGTAACCTTTTGTTTTTGTTTTTTTCTGTTTCAATATTTTTTATTAAGAAAGTTTTGTTTTAAGAATAAGCTCAAGATTTACCCACGCAGGGGCAGAGCAGAACAATAACACATAAACAGATACATCCTGCTGACTTATATTAGCCAAATAATGGAATGTCCAATGACATCAAGGAGAGACGGCAAAAAGCTGAACCAAATAATAGCAGCAGCAATCCAACATATTACCGGAAAAAGAAGAGGAAAGAAAAAGAAAAAAAAGTTAGAAGGAAGGAAATAGAAAATATAAAAACATAGAGAGAAAAAAAAAAAAGAAGAGGAAAGAAAACATGGAGGAAAGGAAAACTAGAAGAGTCACGGATCCAGGGCTAGCACAGGCAACGACTATAAAAGGCCATAACTAGTAGGAGGCAGGGATGGCAAGGAATAACGTATCCAAGGTTCCCAAACCTTAAGGAATCTTGGATGAGAATCATGAAGAACGCTAGACATCTGTTCATTGATCAACATAGCATTCATGCGGGTCTTCACCCCCTGGAAGACAACCGAAGGGGTTCTCCAAGTTTGAGCTATAGCACGTTTGGCCGAAACAAATAGGTAGGATGCCAATTTCTGCTGAGACCTAGACAGACCCAAAATTGGGCAATGCAGAGGGTCACCCTTGTATTGCTACGGACCGTAATATGAAATAGCGTTTGCAGCAAACCAAAAACACTAGAGTTTTTTTTTTTTTCTTTATATTTGGCTGGAGTTCAGCTTTATCCCATTATCATTTTAGCCTTTGTGATTAAAGCGATGTCAAATCTGTTTCCGCAGGATAAGGGCACATGGCTGTCTCTGATCCAGTCTCTCCGGAAGCGAGATGCCCTCCCAGTGGTGATTTTCACCTTCTCCCGAACTCGGTGTGAACAGAATGCCTCTGCACTGACCACAGTAGACCTGTGCACGGCTTCAGAGCGGAGTGAGGTCCAGACGTACTACACCAAGTGCTTGAGCCGCCTGCGTGGGAGTGACCGCCAGCTCCCGCAGGTCCGTGCCACAAGGTCTTTCAAATGTGTTATTTGTACTGATTCCTGATATTGATGATGATTGTTTTTTCAGAGAGGATCTGTGTTATGGGTGTACACAGGGGGGATGAACCATCATCCTAAAATGTATTTTACCTTTCAGATACTGCAGTAGGCATCTCTCTGTACTTGGCTGGTCATCTGTGCCCATCTGCTGTTACTCTTGCTTATACACTGACATCTGTCTATTGCACATACTTACCTGGCCAACAGTATGTGGGCACCTGTTCAAATGAAGTTCAGGTGTTTTCAGTGAAGGATACTGTTCATTTTGCAACATGCAAAGACATTTTAGACAATTTTCTGCTTTTAACCTTTCCCCAGCTTGGGAAGACCCTCTACTATTCCAGTGTGACTGCCCCTGTGCACAAATCTATCTCCATAAAGAGGAACTAGACATGGTTCTGTGTCTTGCACAGAACCATAACCTCAACCCTAAAATCAAAACCACTCTCTTAATAAACAAAGTAAATAAATCCAATTCCCCACAGCACCATCAACACCTTCACCCCAAAAGATGTACAAAAATCAACAAACAGAAGATGCTAATACAATAAATCCTCAAAAACTATGTGCAGTCCAAACCCTAAAAGTCCAAACTTTGAATCAAATTCTTCTCGTGTTCAAAAAATTCCTCCAATAATGTACCTCAAAAAGAAAAAATATTCACATAGTGCATTATCTTTTTTTTAAATAACTAAATAAATAATAGTGAATTCATTCAAGTGAATACCCAATCACATCAATAATCCGTGAAAAAAGTGAACAAAGTGAAAAAAACTGTGAAGCCAAAACAATAAAAACCCTTGTGAATGTGAATCACCTTCAGTGATCTATTCCAACGAGCACTGTGACACTTCTATAGTATAGTCTGCCTTCATAATAATATCAGGATCCAACAGCCTTGAGACTCCATATATCCACATCAAGCATGTTTCATATAAAATATGAATATATAGGAAACACAATAGTGTAATACCACCAGAATCAATCTTAAAATCAACTTTAATTAGGATGCTCACATTTTATCAGCTTAAAAAACGCTTAGAAGTGGTTTACTGTTATCCAGGAAGTGCCCAGGGGAAATCAGATGATTGTTTCCCTCATCCAAGATTAAGGCAAAAAGACTGGCAATATGCATTGCTCCTTTTGAAAAAATTAAGAAGAAGGAAAAAATTTAAATGATTATAGGAGGGTTAAAGGTTAAGTTTACCTTAAAAAAAAAAAAAAATGCACATGATATTGCAGGTGAAAAAAAGTGAATTTATTTATTTTTACAGGAACCTGAAAAGAATTGCAGCCACAATCAGATCAGGGGGTGCATTGTCAGGCTCCTGCACAGTCTTCCTCTAGTTTTGTGCCCAGATACCTGTATGGGCTTTCTGTTACAAAGCTAGAGGAAGAATGGATGAACTGCGAGTGTGCTGATCACCGCACTCACAGCACATTCAAACTACAAGTACGTCTGCCTGTGAATGTATTATGTGGTTGTGTGGGCGAAGCCCTGCATAACTGCTCTGTTTTCAAAAAGTGACAGCAGGTACGGAGAGAAGATCCTCTTTTTTTATTGCTGTCTGTGTCTTGTTGTTGGAAGATTTTCCTATACTTCCTGTCCTAAAGACGCAATAGCAAGTGAGATGAAATCTCTCCAAAGACAGAGGAAATCCCCTATTAGGTGTCGGTGAAAACAGGCGCCCTAACACTAACTGTGACGGGAGTCACTTTGGGTGGGGGGCCCATTGAACCCAGCCTACTTTGGAGAGGTGGGGAGACCCCTGTCTCAGCTCCCCATATCCCTCTTATGTGTAAATCACCCTGTGCCTGTTAAGGGTACAGGGTGATCTATCCTAATACTGGGGTGGGGGGGTTGTTGATTGTTTAAAGTTATGTGGCTGCATCCCATTGTTCTATTGTTTGGAGCAAACTATTACGGGATGTATGTGTTTATGTGTATTCGCTTAGTGGGGGGGGTGTCTCCAGCAGCCCTCCCTCCTGATGGGACTGTCGGCTTGTGTGAAGTTTGAATACCTGTGTGTCTCTTGTTACTAAATGTAGATTGCCCCTTCCTGTGTCATTATGCAGGGAGGGGGGATTGTCCCCTGAGTGTATATATCTTGTATCTGTGTTCAAATAAACTAGTCTACCTCCTGGTTTACTTCAAGACTGGTGTCGTCTAGTCTTGTATGGTAGGCTGTGGTGTCTGTTGTTGGTGTTCGGATGGGGAAGCGGTATTCTAACAGAAAGTACCCAAGCGTAGTCTGGGGTCGGTCCCGTTACACTAACTCTTCCTGAAACCTTTAAACTCACCACAGGGTCCATCATTGAGAAGAGAGAGACGCTTTTATTACCAATATGCCAAATGTTAGCCTGTGGCTGCTCATAGCTTGTGGGAACCAAGTTTTCAGCTCAGACATAATCGTATATACATGATGATTATAGGTACTGCACATGCTGGATTTGTTGAAGAGAGGGATTGGTATCCATCACAGCGGAATCCTGCCCATCCTGAAGGAAGTGGTGGAGATGTTGTTCAGCCGCGGACTGGTTAAGGTCAGTATTGCTTTTCATACAGATCTTTCTGTTGCTGACCTTGTTGTGACAATGCTATTTCTCTGGCTGCCTCTGACCATAGAGTGCTGACTTAAAACAAGCTGAGTGAGTAAAAATGCTAATGCTGTTTGACCAGAATGACACCCAGGAATCTGCTGGTATTCCAGTAGAGGTCTGTACCCAGCATACAGTAAAGCTAAAAAAATATAAACTGTCACTAACCACATAGATGCTTTTTTTGTAGGTATAGTTTTGTAAATATATTTTTCTCATTACAAGAACAGACTCTGCTTAGTGGTTCTAAACAGTGGTTGAACATGCTGTATTTTCTCATAGTGGAACAGTATTAATTAACTACTGATTGGTTGACTCATTAAAAAACAATGCACTTCCCGTGTGGCTGTTATCTTATCTCAACAACTGTTAGGCCAGCCATAGATGGAGCGATTTTGTTTTCTGCAGCAACAGGTTGCAGGATAGAAAATCGCTTGATTCCCCATCAAGCAGTCAGTGTTGATCCCTCCCAATGGAGCCATTGTGCTCTCCCAGCAGGGGGGAGACGTCCCTCTTAGGAATAGACAGTGATAACTACTACTGCCTATAATTGCTGTTGGCAATAATCTCATGTAAAATCCACCAGGATGGTTGTGCCCAAGTTGATCAATCGATCAACTTGGGTACATTCAGCCTGCCCATACATGGTTCGAATCTTAGCCAGTCCCTGCTAAACTGGCCGAGATTCAAACTGTCTTTACACCATGAATTGCCTATGAATGCACACCACACATTCCTTTGCAAGTCACATGCAATTCAGTGAGGTGCAATTTGAATCCATTCATTTTGAATGGGCTGAAGTTGCACCACACCAAAAGTGGTGCATGCACTACGTTCAGAAATGCTGCAACCGAATTGCATGGTGGTTTTGTACCATGCACTAATAAATGTAATTCTTGTGAGCTACTATGGTGTATTGATATTAAGTGTGAAAATTACCCAATATATTAATATATCTTGTGTGTTTGATGTGTGCTATAATTAAAACTAATAATAATTCTATAAATAATTGAGTGAATAAATTAAATGAATAAAATAAATATAATAAAATAAATTAAATAAGTGGGTTGCTTACACTATACACATACTCATACCAATGTATCTGAATAAATCAAGAAACCCCGTGGTGTCGTGCTCCACTATCAAAATAATGAATGAAAATAAATTAAATGAATTAATAAAATATATTACAAACAAAAGACTGAGTCCTAGTAAATTTCCAAAGCGTGATATTGCAATCATGCTAGTGCTGCATGCATATCGCCTTTGGTACAATTTTACATAATCCTTAGTAAGTTTGCCACACTCTCATATATTTGCTGTGTTGTTTTCCTTTTAGCGTTGTGATGTCAGAGCTCCTCCCCTACGCGTTACGCCACCGGGTCCCGTGGCTTCATCGGGGAGAATGTCCAGCTTTAGCCTAGGTTTACACAACATGAATTGCCTATGAATCCGGTAGGAATGCACACCACATTCCTGTGCAAGTCACATGCAATTCAGTGAGGTGCAGTTTGAATCCATTCATTTTGAATGGGCTGAAGTCGCACCGCACCAAAAGTAGTGCATGCACTACGTTCAGAAATGCTGCAACCAAATTGCATGGTGGTTTTGTACCATGCACTAATAAATGTAATTCTTGTGAGCTACTATGGTGTATTGATATTAAGTGAGAAAATTACCAAATATATTAATATATCTTGTGTGTTTGATGTGTGCTATAATTAAAACTAATAATAATTCTATAAATAATTGAGTGAATAAATTAAATGAATAAAATAAATATAATACAATAAAATTAAATAAGTGGGTTGCTTTTACTATACACATACTTATACTAATGTGTCTGAATAAATCAAAAAACCCTGTGGTGTCACGCTCCACTATCAATATAATGAATGAACATAAATTAAATTAATTAATAAAATATATCAGAAACAAATGAGTCCTAGTAAATTTCCAAAGCGTGATATTGCAATCATGATAGTGCTACATGCATATCGCTTTTGGCACAATTTTGCATAATCCTTAGTAAGTTTGCCACACTCTCAAATATTTGCTGTGTTGTTTGCCTTTTAGCGGTGTGATGTCAGAGCCACTCCCCTACGCGTTACGCCACCGGGTCCCGTGGCTTCATCGGGGAGAATGTCCAGCTTTAGCCTAGGTTTACACCATGAATTGCCTATAAATCCGGTAGGAATGCACACCACATTCCTGTGCAATTCACATGCAATTCAGTGAGGTGCGATTTGAATCCATTCATTTCAATGGGCTGAAGTCGCACTGCACCAAATGTACTGCATGCACTACTTTCAGAAATGCTGCAACCGAATTGCATGGTAGTTTCGTACCATGCAATCTGATGCAGGTAAATAAACTGTGTTTGGGCTGTCAATAACCACTTCCCGACCGGCCGTTGTATATAAACGGCCGGACGGTGGCACTGCAGGGTCGGGTGGCCGTTTAAAAACGGCCTCCCCGCACCGTACTTGTGCGCGCTCCCCCAGGAGCACGCAGCACCGCGATCCGATGCCCGCTGTGTCCTCCGGACACAGTGAAACACCGATTGTCGGGACGGGACCTCTGTACGAGGTCCCGATCATGTTATCATTGATTGGCCAATCAGTGATCACATGCAAAGTAGTAAGCAAAATGTCACTTGTGACATCATTGCTTACTACGTGTGAAATCTCTGAATGATCACCGAGGTCACATGGTACAAGGCTATTCACAACAGCCTGTACCATGTGACAAGCTGTGACCAATCACAGCTCACTCAGTAGTTCTCAATGGCTTCAAGAATGCAGACAGAGAGAAAGAGAAATTATTGCTTTTACATCCTATATGGGTGTAAAAGCAATCGGTGTAAAAAAAAAAAAAAAAAAAAATCTTCATCACCCCCCAAAAGTAGTACAGTGTCGCCATGGTGACACTGTACTGCTAGGGTGACAGTATGTAAAAAAACAAATAAAAAATAATATTAAAAAAATAAAATAATAATGTGAAAATTTTTTTTAAAAATTATAATTTTTGGTTATAAACTAATTTGGATTTTTTTTTTTACTAAAAAAAATAATAATAAAAAATAAATAATATAAAAAAAAAAAAAATGTAAAAAAAAATGTTTAAAAATTATAATTTTTAATTAGAAACTAATTTTGGCTTTTTTTTTTTTTTTTTTACTAAAAAGATAATAGAATAAATTTTGGCCAAGATTTATGATGAAATATTATTTATTTGCAAAACTTTATAAGAAAAACGCTATTTTTCAAAATTTTTGGACATTTTCATTTACATAGCAAAAAAAATAAAAATCCCAGCGGTGAATAAATACCACCAAAATAAAGCTTTATCTGTCTCAAAAAAATGGTAAAAACTTCCTATGGGTACAGTGTTGCATGACCACGCAATTGTCATTCAAAGTGTGATAGCGCTGAAAGCTGAAAATTGCCCTGGTCAGAAAGGGGGTGAAAGTGTCTGGACAGGAAGTGATTAACATTGTACTGACACCCGCTGCAGATCACAAGGGCAGTGTGGTTTGAATGGAGTGCAGGAGACCCGCACAGATCTCAGGTTTCCCTAGTGTGAACCTTGGCTTCAGCAGTTCATGGGAGTAGGCTGAAGACTCCCACATACCTAGAAGCACCTGATATGTGATAGTGGAAGGTGTGATGGTGAAACTGCTATGAAAAGTGTGTTCGGACATTTTGCCTGACTCAGCAAGTAGGGTAAACACTGCAGCAAATATACCTCAAATTATGTTCAATGAAGATCTCCTAGATTGTAAGCTCTAACGAGCCGGGCCCTCTGCTTCCTCTTGTACCAAATTGAATTGTAACTGTAACGTCTACCTTCATTTTGTAAAGCGCTGAGCAAACTGTTGGCGCTATATAAATCCTGTATATAATAATAATAATACATTGTACTTTCCCTTTTTTACCACTTTTGCAGCCATATTAGAGTAACGTGTTCCCATTACCGTAGCGTACTTGAAGCAGAGTTCTGGCCCCCGTAACCCCCCCCCCCAAAAAAAAAATATAAAGTCAGCAGCTATGAATACCAACTACTATTGGAACACTTACCTGTCCATGTATCTAGCGGTGTCCTCACCCCCGAGCGAATTCTTCAGTTGGCTGCGGGTTCTGGCACCGCCATCTTGACTAAGGGAAACCAGCAGTGAAGCCTTGCAGCTTTACTGCTGGTGTCCTACTGCGCATGCGCTTTGTGAATGGGCCATAGTCCTCTGGGACCTTGGAAGTATCCCAGAGGCCTGCGGGGGAGGCTGAACTTCCGTCTCAGTTCTCCACAGCGAACTGAGCCAGAAGTGGGAGCGGGTACCTGTCAAAACCATATACCCGCTCCCACCTCTCCCCCCAAAAGGTGCCAAATGTGGCAAAAGAGGGAGAGGAGAAAAAGCAGATCTTCCACTTTTGGGTGGAACTCTACTTAAAAAAAAAAAAAAAGTAAAAATTGCTGCTTTTTTTTCTCTCTAGATTTCTACTTGCCTAATATCCTACTTAGCTTTCCCTTCTATGTATTAAGAGGAGACTTGAAATGGGGAACTATGTTTACCATCATTTACCCTTTCACTGCCTGTACCATTTTTGTTTTTGCTTTTTTTTTATGCACACATCATTATTTTAGGCCTGGAGGTTAGTTAAAACCCCCAAACATGATATTTTCTGAGAGCAGAGACCCTGGAGAATAGAATGATGGTAATTCCAATTTTTTTTATGTCACGTGATATTAGCACAGCAATTTAGCAGTAATACACTAAAGTTGATTTTTTTGCACACAAATGAAATATTTTACCCAATTTTTGGTACATTATAAAAGGTGAGGTTGTGCTGAATAAACAGATACCCAACTGTGGGTATAGGATTATAACTTTTTTTTTTTGGTTGAACTTGATGGACTTTTGTTTTTTTTCAGCCAGACTAACTATGTAACTCTGCAACCTATCAAGCCTTAAAATTGAGCATGCCTGTAAAATGGTGACAAACTTTGGTACCCCAAATTTTCCATAGGTAATGCTTTAAAAGCCCTTACATGTCCCTTTAAAGCGGAACCGAAGGCTTATTTAGAACAGACTGTGAGCAGACAGGGTATTATTGCAGAAGAGGCATTGACTCTTTTGCCCCTAAAATACACCTACCTGCCTATTCGTTGTCTTCTGCAGCTTGTAAACTGAGCTGCATATGCACAGCTCAGCTTACATCGCCAGCGCAGTCCCTGTTTGCCAGGATGACTGACTCCTGCGCTTGTCATCCCACACTGGCAGCACCCGGGAAAAAGATGCCAGTGCTAGCAAGGAGCCGGACTATTAGAGAGGAGGTAAGTTTAGTTCCACTTTAATGAGACATCGAGGGTCTATAAGGAGGGGTGTGTCCTCCACTGAAGCTAATGAAGTGCGTATCGCACTCCATTAGCTTCTTCCCCCACCACAGCAGCTGGGGAAAGTGACAGCAGAAACCGAAAGTGGCAGAATACTCATTGCTTCTAGGTTCTTACTAGCTGAGGGGATCAGTGAATAGGTGTTCACTGGTCTCCCTCATTCCTACCTCGGGACACCCGCCATGCGGGTACTAGGCCTACAAGGTGGGATAGCAGATTCTGGGAAACATGGCGGGGAGAGGGGACGGGGAGGGTGAATGTACCACGGGAAGGGGGGGGGTGAACATACAATTTCCACCCAAAAATTGATAGATTTACATGCACTCCTGTTCTAGTTGCTGTATCAGCCGAGAGTGTGTGTAAACCGGCCCACTGCTGCTAAATCCCAAGAGCTTAACCCTGTGTGTACTGTGTTGGCAGATCCCTAACAAAGGGGTTAAGAATCTTAAGGCTGGGGGGGTACATTGTATGTTAATTCACTGCCCCCCAGTCTGTCCCCTAATTGCACATTGCAAGCAATTGTGAACAGTAGAAGCTGCCTATAGCATCCCATGTATAAACCTGCTCCAAAGAAACCACTAGGAAGGTCTGAAATATTATTCTTTATTATTTATTTACTTATTTATTTCAGGTACTTATATAGCGCCATCAATTTACGCAGTGCTTTACATATATATTGTACATTCACATCAGTCCCTATCCCCCAAGGGGCGTACAATCTAAAGTCCCTAACTCACATTCATACATACACATACTAGGGCCAATTTAGACAGGAGCCAATTAACCTACCAGCATGTCTTTGAAGTGTGGGAGGAAACTGGAGTACCCGGAGGAAACCCACGCAGGCACAGGGAGAACATGCAAACTCCAGGCCGGTGGTGCCGTGGTTGGGATTTGAACCAAGGTCCCTAGTGCTGCCAGGTGGAAGTGCTAACCATTTAGCCACTGTGCTGCCTGCTCTGCTATGCTGCGTGAATGGAAATGGATAACAAACATATAGTGGGGGCTTCTTGCAAACATTAAATACACTTCACAAAAATATTCAGCTTTTTTTGCAGATGTTCACTTGGCTCCGTGCCGCGCTCGCTATTTGTCAGGAGGGAGTCATGCTGTGAAATGAAAGTAAAAATCAGAGCTGCACAATTTGGGGCAATGCAATGAACTTCATCTGGTATCTCATCCATCTGTTTACTGTTTGATAGCAGAGATTCCTGTGAATTCTGTCTTGCACAATACAGCTTAATGTATCAATATTTTGTTTGATTTTTTTTTTTCCGTCAAGAGATAAATGAATAGCTGGCTTCTTATCTGCCCATGTTTGTGTAAATATTTCCCAGTTTTCTGCGGTGTTTGCCTTCATGCTGACATCCAAACCGCAGTCTATTTGCCTGCCAGCCTGTGCTGATCTCTACATTTGTTCAGATATGCCTGCAACAAAGCAAGATCTGAGAAATGAGGTTCATGTCTGTGCAGGTGGTGCCGCTGCGGATCCGCACGAAATCCGTGCAGTCGCACAACCCGCACAAAGAAATGCGGACCTGCGGGCAGGTGCCATTAGTTCTAATGGCACGCCTCGTGCACTGCGAAACGCATCCGTACTGGGAACCGAGGTTCCCGTGTGGACTGCATTTTCCAAAGAAGTGCAGGGACTTCTTCCCTGTGTGGCACGGGAGTCCATTCAACTGAATGGGCTCTCGTGCCTGCGCAAAACGCGGCCTGCACAACATATATGTGAACTGGGGGTTAAGCTAGTGCACATGATGAAAATATCAGATGGATGGTCGTCTGTTTTTGGTTTTTTCTTTTTTGCATGCTAGTCTCATATCAAAAACAAAGAGGTTACTAAAGCGAGGAAAATTCTCATACGCCAGAATACAACTTCAGAAGTAATGCATTGTACAGTTGCAAGAAAAAGTATGTGAACCCCTTGAGATTATCTAAGGGATCATCTAAGTCACAACAATAGAAGAACACAGTCTGCTGAACATAATACTACACAAACATTAGATGTTGCCATGGTTTAATTGCACATAACATGTAAACATTCACAGTGCAGGGAGGAAAAAGTATGTGAGGCCCTAGCTTAATGACTTCTACCAGAGCTAATTGGAGCCATGAGTGAGCCAACCTTGACTCCAATCAGTGTGATGATATTGGATGTGTTGCTGACAGCTGTCCTGCCCTTAAAAAAAACACACACACCTGTTTTGGGTTTACTGGTTTCAAGAAGCACTGTCTGATGTGAACCATGCCTCGCAGAGAAGAGCTCTCAGAAGACCTACGATCAAGAATTGTTGACTTGCATGAAGCTGGAAAGGGTTACAAAAGTATCTCCAAAAGCTTTGATGTTCATGTGTCCACGGTAAGACAGACTGTCTACAAATGGAGAAAGTTTAGCACTGTTGCTACTCTCCCTAGGCGTGGTCGTCCTGTAAAAATTACTGCAAGAGCACAGCGCAGGATGCTGCATGAGGTAAAGAAGAATCCCAGAGTGTCAGCTAAAGACCTACAGAAATCTCTGGCACATGCTAACATTTTTGTTGACACATCTACAATAAGGAAAACATTAAACAAGAATGGAGTACATGGGAGGACACCACGGAGGAAGCCATTGCTGTCCAAAAAGAATATTGGAGCACGTTTGAAGTTTGCAAAAGAGCACCTGGATGTTCCACAGCACTACTGGCAAAATATACTGTGGACAGATGAAACCAAGATTGAGTTGTTTGGGAAGAACACACAACACTATGTGTGGAGAAAAAAAGGCACAGCACACCAACATCAAAACCTCATCCCCACTGTAAAACATGGCGGAGGGAGCATCATGGTTTGGGGCTGCTTTGCTGCCTCAGGGCCTGGACGGATTGTTGTCATTGATGGGAAAATTAATTCCAGAGTTTATCAAGACATTTTGCAGGAAAACGTACGACCATCTGTCCGCCAACTGAAGCTCCGCAGAGGATGGGTGATGCAACAGGACAATGACCCAAAGCATACAAGTAATTCAACAAAACAATGGCTGCAACAGCACAGAATACGCCTCCTGGAGTGGCCCAGTCAGAGTCCTGACCTCAACCCCATTGAAATGCTGTGGCATGACCTTAAGAGAGCGATTCACACCCAGACATCCCAAGAATATTGCTACACTGAAACAGTTTTGTGAAGAGGAGTGGTCCAAAATTACTCCAGATCGTTGTGCAGGTCTGATCTGCAACTACAGGAAACGTTTGATTGAGGTTATTGCTGCCAAAGGAGGGTCAACCAGTTCTTAAGTCCAAAGGTTCACATACTTTTTCCTCCCTGCACTGTGAATGTTTACATGTTATGTGCAATTAACCTCTTGCCGACCGCGCATAGCCGAATGACGGCTTCACCGCGGCCGGCCAGTTCTGAGTGGACGTCATATGACGTCCTCCCAGAACGCGCTCTCCTGCGCGCCCCAGGGGGCGCGCATCTGGCGATCTCCGTGATCGCTGTGTCCTATGGACACAGCTGATCACGAGATGTGGTAAAAGGCCGATCATACCGGCCTTTTACCACGTGATCAGCGGTGTCCAATGACACGCTGATCACAGGGAAATGCAAGTGCCGGTTCTCGGCTGCACTTTCCTCACGCTGTCAGATCGTGAGGAAAGTACTGCCGAGAACCGGCAGTTGTCAGAGCGGGGATCGGCACCGATCATCAGGGCACTGATGATCAGTGCCCTGATGATCGGTGCCCAGCAGTGACACCCGCAAGTTCCGCCCAGCAGTGCGCCCACTAGCTCCGCCCTCCCGTGCCCAGCAGTGCCCCCACCTGTGCCCAGCAGTGCACCCACCTGTGCCACTCTGCAGTGCCACCTACCTGTGCCCAGAAGTGCCACCTACATGTGCCCAGCAGTGCCACCCACCTGTGCCCACCAGTGCCACCCACCTGTGCCCACCAGTGCCACCCACCTGTGCCCACCCACCAGTGCTGCCCACCAGTGCCACCCACCAGTGCAGCCCAGCAGTGCTGCCAGTCAGTGCCACCAGTCAGTGCCCAGGGGTTGTGCCAGTCAGTGCCGCCAGTCAGTGCCCAGCAGTGATGCCAGTCAGTGCCGTCTATCAGTACCCATCATCAGTGTCACCTATCAGTGCCGCCTATCAGTGCTGCATATCAGTGCCGCCTATCCGTGCCACCTCATTAGTACTGCCTATCAGTGCCCTTTAGTGCTGCCTATCAGTGCCCATCAGTGCCGCCTATCAGTGCCCATCAGTGCTGCCTCATCAACGCACATCAGTGAAGGAGAAAAAATACCTGTTTGAAAAATTTTATAAAAGAAACAAATAAACTTTTTTTTTTTTTTTCAAATTTTTTGCACTTTTTTTATTTATAGCGCAAAAAGTAAAGCGCCCAGTGGCGATTAAATACCACCAAAAGAAAGCTCTATTGGTGAGAAAAAAATGATCAAAATTTCATATGGGTACAATGTTGCATGACCGCGCAATTGTCAATCAAATGCGGCAGCGCTGAAAGCTGAAAATTGGCCTGGTAAGGAAGGGGGTATAAGTGCCTGGTAGGCAAGTGGTTAAACCATGGCAACATCTATTGTTTGTGTAGTATTATGTTCAGCAGACTGTGTTCTTCTATTGTTGTGATATAGATGACGTTCAGAGCACATTTTTTGCCCAATTCATGCAAAACTCCACGTAATCCCAAGGGGTTCACATACTTTTTCTTGCAACTGTATTGTGTTGTATTGTAATGTATTCTTTCATTTCTGAGCATGTGCAGTCTTGGTCACTCGATTTTTTTTTTTTTTTTCAGATGAATACTGTGCTGATTAAACAAAAATTGTTAATGCTGTTATAGTGCAAGAAAAATGTTTTGTCTTTTGTCCTTTCGGATAATTTCACATGAACCGTCTTGATTGGCTCTCAAAAGCTGCGTACTAATGGTCAGATTATCAAATATTTGTTTCCTGAAAGCAGTATTTATTATCCAATTCTCTTATTGTGTGTACTAGGCTTTAGTGTGCAGCACTGGGATCCTCAAACTACAACTATCTGCATAGAGTTTGCATGTTCTCCCTGCAATTTTGTGGGTGTCCACCAGATACACTGGTTTCCTCCCACTCTCCAAGTAGGTAGGTAATTTGACTTCTGTCTAAATTGGATCCTAATATCTGTACGTATGAATGTAAGCTAGGGAAGGCCCACCTTGTGTACTGCACACGGCACTTTTTTATTTATGCACGTGTTTATCACAGGCACTCAAGTCTTGTACACACGATTAGAAAATTATTATTATAATTATACATGATTTATGTAGCGCCAACAATTTGCTCAGCGGTTTACAATACAGCAACAATACAGTTCAATACAAGACGGTTAGGAGGGCCCTGCTCTTCGGGAGTGTACAATCTAATTGGCCGAAAAATACAGCTTGCGGAGCAATCTTTGGATAAGCTGATCATTTGTACACAGCTTTCAAGATCCGATCACGACAGTTCATGCAAAATTATCCAAAGAGACAAATACAAACATTTTTCTTGTATGATACCGTAACAAATGATTGTCAAATAAATCAGTACAGAATTTGTCTGAAAAAAAATCTAGTGACCAAGACCGCGCATGCTTGGAAACGAAATAATACATTACAATAGCAAACAAACTAACAGTGTGACCAGGCAGTGGGGAAAGTGAATAGAATTCTAGGATGCATCACTAGAGGGGTCACCAGCAGGAGGAAGGAGGTCCTGATTCCTCTATATAGATCTTTAGTTAGACCTCATTTAGAATACCGTGTCCAGTTTTGGAGACCTCATTTACAAAAAGATATTGATAAGACAGAACGAGTCCAGAGGCGGGCAACAAAAATGGAGCGACTTCAGGGACATAACAAGAGCGACTTCAGGGACATAACATGTACAGTCTGGAGGAAAGAAGGGGAAGGTGAGACATGATTGAAACCTTTAAATACATCAAGGGGGTAAATAAGGTTCAGGAGGGCAGGATTTTCAACAGGAAACCAAAATCAAGAACACGGGGACATGACCTTAAACTAACTTAGATTGTAAGCTCTAAAGAGCAGGGCCCTCTGAATCCTCCTGTATTCATTTGTATTGTAATTGTACTGTCTGCCCTTATGTTGTAAAGCGGTTTGTAAATTTTTGGTGGTATATAAATCCTGTATTATAATAATAATAATAACTGGTGGAAAGTTCAAAACTAATCTCAGAAAGTACTATTCTACCGAAAGAGTAGTTGATGCTTAGAATAAACTTCCAGCAGAGGTAGTCAGCCAGTCAACAGTAAATAGCTTTAAAAAAGCCCCAAAAAAACAAAAAACAGCAAAAAACCTAAACCACCCCACAAAAAAAAAAAAAAAAAAGGGCGGACTCGATGGACCGCTCAGTCTTTTTCTGCCATCACTTTTCTTTTCTGATTCTATTATATGTTTCTATACAATACATTGCATCACTTCCGAAGTTGTATTCTGTCGTACGAAAATTTACGTAACTTTAGTGACCTTTTCATTTTTGATATGAGACTAGGATGCATAAAATAAACAAACGATCTTTCGTCTGATATTCTCATTGTGTGTACTAGGATTTACACTATATATGTGTGTTTTTCTTTTTCCCTCACAGAGACAGAGGGTGCAAGTTTTTCAGGGCCTGTCCTAATGTCAGGGAGAGGATCTGTGTTCTTCTGGTCTTTTTCCTTTCCTCAACCGTGGTTCTCTTTTTTGGAGAGTCCTCAGCAGAGGACTGGCTTCAGCAGGTTCTTAAAGCAGAGTTCCGCTCACCCTGGCAAAAAATAAAAGCAGTTACAAACACTGTAGCTGCTGACTTTTAAAAAACAGTCACCTGTCTCTCAGTCCCACGGTGTCCTCCCTGCAGCCCGTTTCACCAGCCGTCCTGTATTCCAGGAGGCCGGCATCATCAATGTGGGCACCCGGATGTGACAGCTTGCGGCTTCACAGCCGGGTACCCACTGCACATGTGCGAGTCGTGCTGCGCTTCATGAATGGTCCTGTAGTCTTCTGGGACCTGTCACATGTCCCAAAAGACTACAGGGAGGGAGGGAGGACTAGGCGATCGGACCGGAAGTGGGAGTGGGTACCTGTCAAATTCGGGTACCTGCCCCCCAAAGGTGCCAATCCTTAATGGGGAACGGGGGAGCAGTCCTTAAAGCGGAACTTCCCCTTTTGGGCGGAGCTCCGCTTTAAGGAGCAGGATCCGTCTGGTTTTGACCTAGGTAGTCCAAGAGTACCTTACCCCTGCCAGGAGCCTTGCGCCCTTGGAGGAGTTCAGGGGTTGAGGCCTTTCCTCTTCGCAGGTCATTCCTATTCTGTACTTTCATGCACTTTTTTTGTGTGCTCACTTTTTTTTGTTCACAGGGATTCAACAAGCAGCGCACATGTGTATGTATACATGTGAGGTAGGACGTTAGATTGTAAGCTCCATGTGCATATTAAATGTACAATATGTAAAAGTGCTGTAATATAGAAATCTGAGTGATGCCATTCTCTAAATGGACTTGGCTCACCCATACACTTTTTTTTTACACTTGCAGGTTGGGGGAAGAAGGGGGTGGAAACAGGCATTTGTTTACAATACTCCAATTGCCCCCATACGGGGTATACACATACAGGAGTCATGATCCATTGCATCGCACTACAGCAAAAATGATCCTTCCTTGTCATGTTCAGCAGGCACTGTCTCCTGGCGAAAGTGACTGATTAAAATGAATAGGGCCACGCTGCATCCCACAATGCACCTGATTGCAGCACAGTATTGCTGGCCTCTTTTGTGTAAAACAGGCAAAAAGGAGGCCTGTCAGATGCCTTCTGAAAAGCAATCCACTGTGGATTGCTCTTCAAAAGGATACCACAGCAAGCCTTCAGGTTTAATTTCCAGCTCCAGTTTCTCTCCCTCTGACATCTGTGTTCCTTAAAAGCTCACACGCTCCAACAACAGAAACTCTCTGACACCATACTCTTCTCATTAACTGGGAAAAGTGCACAGTGTGTGTAGACACTATTATGTTCTGTATCAAAGTTCAAGAAAGACAAAACACCCCTTTAAAAATGTTTGCCTTTGAGGAAGTTCAATACAAAATTGGAGTTACTCTTTAAGGTATGACACCACTATTTAAAGAAAAAAAAGTATAAAAACCTTTATTACTATGCTATAATATACTTTATATATAATTTATTATTAATGTAATAACTAAAATGTAATGCTTTGAATTTAATCACTTAAAAAAAAAAAAAAGTCTTAGAGAACTATTTATAAAACATTTGTTGCACGAATGTCACAAGCATTCATCCAGGCTGCATGAATTTTCCCTGTATTTTCTCTGATACCATGATTTCCATGATCATCAACTCCATCTAGTATAAAAAATGTGGTCTCTCTATTTCTGAAATACCCCAATCAGAAATGATACGGCCTTTTGATCAATAGATGGACCATAGAAAGTCATAGTATAAGAGACAAAATACGGAGGAAAATCTGTTCAGGCTGGACGAATGCTTGTGAAACTCATCCAACAATGTTGGCTCTGATGTATCTCACAACAACTTGCATGTGGATAGTTAGATTCAAAATATCTATAAAAATTTTCCAAAGTAAACAAAGATAAGTCAAAGCATTAGATCACTTTTTTTCTACAGAAATTCCACAGAAACTGAATCCTTGCCAGTTGATATCAAAAAGTAAATACACTGCTCAAAAATATTAAAGTATAACATCAAGTCAATGAAACTCCTGAGACATTGATCTGGTCAGTTAAGTAGCAGAGGGGGTTGTTAATCAGTTTCAGCTGTTTCGGT